ATATATATATATATATATATATATATATATATATATATATATATATATACTACAATGGTATATATATATATATTACACCTTGTCACCTCCGTACGATCCTCCCTCTCTTTGACCTCCTTGAGGTAGGGGTACAGAGAAGTCATGTTTCCTCGTGGCCGTAGCCATATTTTCGTGAATGTGGCCTACCTGGCAACTCTTAGGGTTTTTCCAATTTGCATGTGATCGCCGCATGCGCTAGAGATAGTCAACTAACAAGGCAACACATTCAATTGGTACATACCGATTTTAATCAAATTTATATGGGAGGTAGTTCTGAAAAAAATGACTTGAAAACTAGAGGAGCTAGAATAAAAATTTTGTTTTAAATTATGCGTTTTTAAATGGGTAATTTACTGATTTGCCAGAACAAAATTGTTCGTTTATTTATTTAAATTCTTTACTTTTAAGATTTTTTGTTGTATTACTTTATCTTACTAAATGTTGTTTCTTATTCATAAAAATTTATATGCGTAATGTACAGGTTAAAATAAGGAATACATGTTTTTTGAAATTTTGTTTTTCATGATATAACAATACTTATATTAAATGGGGAATACCTTCTTCTGCGCCTAAAATGTGGTTCCCTTAACATTTTTCTTTTTTTAACTATCCGAAAATTTAATTTGAAATTTGACACAAGTTTGTAGTATTATTTTAGTATGGTGTACAAATTTTTATAAAAAGATTTAACTAAAAATATAAATGTTACGCCCCGGTGACCATATTGTCGTAATAGAAACATTGTCCACTGTTCGATTTGATTTGTTTCGTTCAAATGAACTGAAGTAAATAAATTAATCAGCATTTTATTCAATATGCATGTTATTATCCTCTGGGGAAAATCAAAATCAAAATTTGTGTTCCTCCAATGGCTATAAACGACGAAACCAAAGATACAAATGTGACGTTGCATCAGTCACAGCTGAAAGAGAACATGACCATTGTCTGAAGCACAGGTATATGACCACCAGGCGGTAGAAATGAAGGCAACCTGCGGCCAATGTTTCCATTCCGGCGTCACGGTCACCGGATCAACAACAAAAACGAACAATTTTGTTCTGGCAAATCAGTAAATTACCCATTCAAAAACGCATAAATGAAAACAAAATTTTTGTCCTAGCTCCTCTAGTTTTCATGTTATTTTTTCAGAACTATCTCCCATATAAATTTGATAAAAATCGGTATGTACCAATTGAATGTGTTCCCTTGTAAGTCACGTCTCTAGGGATCGAAAGAACTGCAACGGCCATGCGGGCACACCTCAGGATGCCATTCCCCGTTTATGCTGCCATAATAAACTACCATTGTACCAAACGTGACAATGGTCGCGTTTTTTTGACGCTCGAGGCTCTGCTAGTCTCGAGGGAGAGGGACAGCGAGAGGGAGATGCGAGAGGGAGAGAGGGAGAGAGGGAGAGCAACATTAAGGAAATTTATTACCCTCTTGAAGAAAGTTGCCGGAAACGCGAGCCGAGGTACAGCGAGAGTCTGTTAGGCTGAACAG